TGTTTATGTGTGTGTGTGTCATTGAGAGACATTGTTCAACAAGCTCTAAATCTTGTGTGTGTGTGTGTGTGTGTGTGTGTGTGTGTGTGTGTGTGTGTGTTGCTGTCCTCCAGGTATCCGGTGATTTTAGAGCATTTCTCTCTGAGGACCGGCTCCGGAGGGGCAGGGAGGCACCGCGGCGGAGACGGCGTGATTCGGAAGCTCTTGTTTAGGAACAAGGTGGTCCTGTCGGTCCTGACAGAACGGCGAACCATTCGCCCCTATGGCCTTATGGGTAATCAGTAAAGCCTCCCTTATAATAAACTACTTCCTTTGTAAAGAGGACAGGATTCGCCTGATGGGTCGGTGTTTCTCTCTCTTGACGGTCAGGCGGAGAGGACGGAGCGRCGGGGCTGAACCTGCTCCACAGAGCTGATGGACGAGTCCTCAACCTGGGAGCCAAAACCAGCGTCAGCCTTCAGCCAGGGGTGAGAATGCGATGTGCCGAATGAGACACTGGGGGGCGGGGTTTGTAGCAGAACTCTTAATGGTGGCAGAGATTACAGGAAATGGTCCAGACTTAAGTCCAGAYGACCTGAATCCAACTGAGAATCTGTGRYAAAACTGTTCAGATGCTTTTACTGATGTTGAATTATTCTGCTTTAAAGATCTACAAGCTGGGATTAGAGCTAAAGGTGGTTCTGTTGACTCAGAAACACTTTAAAGWTTGTAGTTTTAACTTGACAAAATGTGGAAAGGGTTAAATATGTTTTCAGGTACTGTACAGTTCTGTACTCATCGGAAGGAAATGTTATTTCTTATATATMTTTACATAATTTAACAAGCTTGTGTCCTTCGTAATAAAAGAAAAAACAGTGTATTTGTGTTTTGTTTCCCCCTGCAGGACATGTTCTGCCTCTACACCCCGGGAGGAGGTGGGTATGGAGAAGAGGAGGTGAACGGGACGCCTCAGACAAAACGAAGGCGTTTAAATGAGACGTTCTCAGAACGRGGGAGCATCTTTGAGTTCAGAATGGCTCAAGAAGGGGTATAAAAAAGAAGAAGATGAAGTTCTAGACTCTAGTTTTTAACACAAACTGGTATCTGATCAAATCAAATGATGCAGCTGCTCATCTGTTCAAACTGAACACGAGTTTGTAGAGGCTCAGTCTCTTTATGTAGGTTTTTCTTCTGTTTTTATTCAAAAGGACCAAATAAACCCATTTCAACAAAACATGTCCTGTTTGGTGGTTTCTCAGAGTTAATGTTTGTTTTCATGGGATGTTTTCTGACAATTTGAACCGGTTTGTTGAAATACTGTATTACACAGACAGAGGGAATGATGAGACTCAGTGTTTTTGTGTTTGGAGTCAGCCTGCCTGTAATAGTGTGAAGGCTTCACAATTTTTGTGCTATTTTAACTACTCATATACAACCCCTGGCAAAATGTATGGAATCCCCAGTCTGGATGAGCACTCATTCAGACAAATAAACTCAGATCAAAAACATGACACAATAATAAGGTCATTCCAGAGTGCAACTTGTTGGCTTTCAGGAACACTCAAAGAAATGAAGAGAAAACATTGTGGAAGTCAGTGAATGTTACTTTTATTTACCAAGCACAGGGAAAAAATATGGAATCACTCAAATTGGAGGTAGAAAACAAGGACACATCCAGTCAATTTCGTTTCCCTAAATG